CAGAACAAGCAGATCGACGAAGTACACTGCTGAGGGGAGCAGCAGGAGGGTCAGGAGAGGTCTGCCACACCATGTGATCACCTCCGGGGCAGGCGGGAATTGAATTCATGCGGAAGCGGCTTTTTAAAATTCTCAGTGCTGTGCTTTAACCCGCTGCGCCACCAGGGAGGGCCCAAGCTGTGACATTCTTAATGTAGGAACACTGTATTTCTAATTTTCATATTTCCCATATCTAGAGCCACACCCCATTTATAGCAATGCATATGTTTTGTTATATTAACAAAAATATAAACCAATTTTATCCAATAGTATGTGTTTGAATTTGAGTTTTAAGTTGGGTTGTCATCTTAGGACTGAAATCTTTACTTCAGGAAACCTAGTTCTGCCAACAGATGAAGTAGAAAAGTCTGGGCACCAGAGAATTAGCTCAGAGAGAAACTACCAGGAGCAAGAATGTGTAGGAACTGAGGTTTGCTATATGTATCTAACAGTCCAACTGAGAAACATTTAGGAAACAAAAGGGCTATTAAAACCGAGACAGACACCATGACTGCGGCATCCATTTTGCGTACTTGAAGGCTTCTCTTTTCACTTACGTCCCTACAGTCTCTGCGCATCGACACAAATCTCCACTCTGGATCTAGGTCTAACCTGGTCACCTTGACTTCAAAATCACTTACCAACAGAGTTGCCAACTTGCCCTTCTAGAAGATGTAGTGGTTTGACTAATCTCTGCCTACCGTAGGTGATACTTGGTAGCCATATTTCATGTTCCCCCATTTTACCTGCCTTTCCTTCTCATGCCAACTTAAGCTCTGCTCAAAGCTCACACAGATGTTAAGCTTTTTCAGCCGTGAAAGACTCCCAGAAAGATATTTCAACCTCATGAGGCTGAACCATGGGGTTCTTCTAACTGAAACTGCCTCCATAGCCAAACTTCCCTTCTTCATCATCTACAAAAACTCTCCATTTATAGTTACCTTATATTAAAACAACTACTGAATTTCATACGCAAGGCCTGAGTTTGAGATAGTTCAGTGCTTCCCAAAAAGTTTCCATTTAGTCATCTGTGATTGCATCAGACATATATACAAACCTTCCCTTACTTAAACAATGGTTTAACTTACAATTTTTGACTTCATAATGGTGTGAACATGATATCCATTCAGCGGGAATGGCACTTGGAATCTCTATCTTTTCTAGGCTAGCTAGATGCAGTACAATACTCTCTCTGATGCTGGGAGTGGCAGCAAGCCACAGTGCCCAGTCAGCAACACAATCACAAGGGTGAACAATCATTCTGTTTTTCACATTCAGTACAGTATTCAGTAAGTTGAACTGAACATTTTAGTATAAAATAGGCCTTTTAAAAATTATTTTGCCCAATTAGAGCCAAATATAAATGTTCTGAGCACATTTAAGGCAGGCAGGCTTGGCTAAGCTTAGATGTTTGGTGTAATAAACATATTTTTGAAGTACAGTATTTTCAACTTATGATGAACTTACTACAACTCCATTGTAAGACATGGAAGATTTATAGGTATATCGGTATGCACTGAGTATGTTCCCCCCTGCCTTCCCTTCTGGGCATGTCTAAATCCTTGTTATTCAAGTCTTCTTACCAATGCCAGACCTGGCCTCTCTCTTATAACACAGTAGATTATGAATTGGCTAAAGACCCATAAATAAGAATGCTGCATAGAGAATCAAGAATGATCTCAGGAGGGTTTTCAGTAGTATCACCAAGAACTCTGTCACACCTATAGTAAGTATCAACTGGAGGTTTTGATATACAGAGGAGGGGCTCACTTACTCCATATAGTGAAAATAATATGAAGCTGGATGGGCAAGAAAAATATAGAGTATAGAATCAAGATGTATGACTTAGCTCTTATTACATAGAGAAGCACACCAAATTGAGTGGCTTAAAAAAAAAAAAACATTTTATAGTTTCTTTAGCTGAGAAATCCAGGGCAGCTCAGGGTGTCTTGTAGAGTTATAGTCAGGGTATGGGTCAGGGCTACTATCATGAGAAGGCCTGATTGGGCGGAAGTTCTGTTTCCTCTCCAGCTCACTCACATGGGAGTGGACTACAGCCTTACTCCTCACTCCTGGGCACCTCACCAAAGAGGCCCATCTGCAATAAGGATGTTTGTGGCCATTTTGTGATCTACTAGACAGACCTTTTCAATATACATAGAAGGGCTCACTTTTGAGCCCCTTTGGTATACAAAGAATCATACACCTTGATTCTATACTCTGAATATTTTTCTTACCCATCCAGCTTCATGCTATGTTGTCTATATGGGTAAGTGAGACTTTCCTATGTATATCAAAAGGCCCATATGCAGTAAGGGATGTTTGTGGCTATTTTGTAATCTACTAGAAAGACCTTTTCACGAACACCTTCACGAAGGCTCAGTCATTCTTCTTTCTTTGAACATCACAATGTAAGTCTTGGTACATTACATCACTGATTTTGACTAGGCCACAAAAAAGGGACAGTGTCCTCTCTGTGCAGGGAGCCCCATAATGACATGCAGTAAGCACTACCCAGCAGCCATGTACAAAGAGCTCAGATTCTTCCTGTAAGCAGAAACAGGGGACACCCTCAGTGCTTGCTGAGGAGACTCAAATGCACGTAGGGAAAACACGAGGACCAGACACACCTGAAGAAATCTAAGAATGAAGTAACACATTACATGACATGTTTGGGGAAGAAGTAAGCCTCAGCAGACTTTGAAGATATAAGATGAGTGAGGGAGAACACATTTGTCTCTATTGAAATTGTGAAAACTAAAGCTAGACCAACATGGCTCTGACTATGTGGAGGAAAAAATTGTATACTGCAAATACACAAGGAAAATATATCCCCCCCCAAAATAGCCAAAGATATTATGGAATAGCTTCACTCATTCACTCATATTATCCATCTGACACTTGTAAATATTGGAGATTTCCATTCTTAATGGAAAATAAACACTTTATTTCCCAAGCTAAGTCTTTAGTAACTTTTAACAGTTTTATTTCTTGCAACACCTTCTGTTTTGTGCAAAATAGGACTAAATGACAGCATGGGTCATGTTTCTGAGAGAGAATCAATACAAGGGAAAAGGACCCTCTCTTCCTCATTTAGATAATATTTTGTCCAACCCAAATGGCAGATCTCATCTAATCATTATATTTTAAGCAGAGACAGCTGTAGCTTACTGCTTGTATCCTGCCCAGTCTTTATTCCTAAAAGCAGAAAACAGAAGGGGTCCTACACACAGCAATCATAATAAAATACTCATCAAAGACAAACCTCTGACATGAAACTTGTCAGGAAAGAGCTTGCTGGCCCGACTCCGGCTTTCAGGAGCCACATGCAAGCAAGCGCACACTAAGTAGCACGGTGAACAGCCTTCTTCCTTCAGCCTTTGGGGGCTGGGGATGGAGGAACAAGTCTCCCTCAGTTTTCTAACAAATGACCTATTTCAGTGCAATCAGAAGGGGAGGGCAGTCATGCAGTCAGTCAGTTATATGCCAAGTTGTAGCCATGTTAGTATTTCATGCCAGTAATTCTGTCTAACAGAAACTCATCCTGGCTTCTTCCCATTCCTCTTAGCAAGATTGCAGTTGTAAATCAGCAAGAGCATCCTGGAGGCTGCTGCAGGTACGTTGTCGGAAGCAATTTAGGAGGAGGAATCTTCAGAATAATTTAGAATATGAGTCTAAGAGGGAAGGTCAATTTTGCTATTTAGAACCAGCACCCTATGTCAAACTTGGCTTTGAAGGGATATACTAATTGTCAACCTTGGAATTTGAATTTCAAGGATCTAAGATCACAGTAATTCAGACTTTTACTCCTGAGAGTTAGTTTGATTCTCAATTCTGACCTCTAGGCATCCTCTAACTTTGGGACTCTACCTGGAATTAGCAAAATCTCTTTATTCACATGAGCAGTTTCATTTGTAGCTCCATGAGGAAAAGGGGTGGCTGTCATTCTGATCTGAATGGATAGAAATTGGATTTTCAGAGAGTTCAGATCCTGGTCCTGGCTCTTATTTGCTTTGTTTGGTTGAACCAACTTTTCGCTATTTCTGCTAACCATTTCCCCCCACCACTTCTCTAGCAACCCTTTTCCTACTCATTTCTATGAGTCTGACTGTTTAAGATTTCACATATAACTGCTACCAAGTAATACTTGTCCTTACTTAGCATGATACCTTCAAGTTCTGTTTATGTTGTGCCGCTAGCAAGAGTGCCTTCTGAGTATAAAGAATACCCATTGTGCATGTGGATTCCGACACACACACACACCCCTCACATCTTTACACACTGAAGGGCACAGGCTGTTTCGTAGCCTGGCTACTGGGAGTGATGCTGCAGTGAACAGGGGGCACAAATACCTCTGAGATTTTACTTCCTTTGTGTAAATACCCAGCCAGGGGATAGCCAGATCTTACAGTAATTTTTTGTTTGTTTTTGGTCCTGCCTTTTAATAACTGTGGCAAGGGCCTTAAACACTCTGGGTCTTCCTTTCATTATCTTTGAAAGACAATTATTCAGAGAAATAGATAAGAGTTTTATATAGGATTAAGAAAGTTGAGCTAGAAACATGGTAAAGACAGAAGCATGGTCACACCATCATCATCTGCAGAGTTGGGGCTACAACCTATGTTCCAGGATTTAGCACTTAACCCAGCACTTGCTGGTTTATGAATAAAAGGCACAGGTTTTCCTGAGGTCCACTTGTTGGAGCTAAGCACTGGGTTGCTGAGGTGCAAATTAAGAAGAATGCACAGTTGGATCTATCTGCTTCCTACCCTTCCTAGGGTCCCTGGCAGGTAAGCCTCCCCCTTTTCCCACTTCTACCAGTCATAGACAAGCAGACCTCAGGAGGTATTCTCTGATAAAAGATTTGGTGCAGGAGTCAATAGTGGTGGTGGTGTTGGGAAACACTAATTAAAAGGGCTTGAGGGCATTTGGAAACACTCCACGGAGATGGCGACAGTCCACTGCACCTCCCTGGCCCTGTGCTGTGTGTCCAGGTCTGCCTCTGCCTCAGGTGCTGCTGAGTGTTCTCAGTCACTGCCGAGTTCACCAGGGACCCTTTCCATCAACACGATTTCTCCTACACGATGACTTTGAAGACCCCCCCCCCCGCCACCACCACCACCAAATTCTCTGTGGATTTAAGAATAGACTCCTGGGGACAAAAACTGACACTCTGCCCCTTAACAACACCCCTATTTGGCCAGTTTGACACCGGCTGCCTCTATCAGAAGTCACTGGGAAAGAAATACCTCATGTAATAGTTAACTCTGATCACAATGTTTGCTTTAATTATTAACATTTGGCAGCCAAAGGGAACAACAGTACTTTATCTAGTGTTTCTTAAGAAAGAAAAAGCAACAGCTCATACCTCAGACTTTATGAGATGTTTGAGCAATCATTTTGGATGGGCACATGCAGTCTTCACACATACCAGCCAACACTCTGAAGTGTGATGACTGATTCATTCACTCTGCAAATATTTATTGAACTGGCATAGTTCTAGGTGCCAGGAATACATCCGTGAATGAAACAGAAGAATTCCTGTTTTTGTGGAGCTTCAAATCTAGTGGGAGATAGAGGTAAATATTTAACAATAAAAATAATAAATAAGGAAATTATATGATGTATTAGAAGAAGGCAAAAAACTACAGTAACTAGAATGGAGAGTGCTGGAGGATCCTATTTTACTTAGGGTGGTCATTATCAGGCTCATTGAGAAAGTGATATTTGAGCAAAATCCTAAGGGAAAAGAAGGGAGTCAAGTGGATATTTGGAAAGCAATGCTCTATACAGAACAGCCAGTGCAAAGGTCCTGAGGCAGAAGCATGCCTGGAGTATTGGTGGAACATCAAGAAAACAAGTATGCTTAGGAGTAGATGAGGAGGAAAGTAGAGGAAATGAGGCATAGGGAAACAGTGGAAGACAGGTAGGTAGCGTAAGCTGATGTACACTTGCTTTCCTGTAGAGGGATGAGGCCACTAGGAACTTGGAAGCAGAGGTGGGATATCATCTGGAGAGTTTAAGAAGATCCCCCTCTGGCTTATATGTGGGGGGTTCATTATATGCTCAGATTAGGTCACAGGGTAAAGCCATTTGCACTGAAAATAGCGACTTCTACTTGTTTTCCTCAAAGCTGTTCAGAACTGGTGAATTTTGAGGCTCCCCCGCTCTAGGCTAAACTCTACTGTGGTCTCCATCATGGCTCCCTGTCTGTGCCCCATCCTCTCCAGCCGCAGATTCAAAGTCTCACGTCTGTCCTCCACCCACCCACGGAGAAGAGCAGAAAATGAAAGCCCTTCCTCCCTTTCCCTCTGTTTGCAGACTTCCCAATAATTCAGACTCCACCTAGCAAGATCCATTAGAGCTAATTAACAACCCTCCTTTCAGGAGGTGTCGCTTCACGACGATTAATTCTGGGTCAGAGACAGAAAGCTTGCTCCATTATGGTTCTTTTTAAAAAATTATTATTATTCAGGCTTCTAATGCTGGCATGAACTGCGGGTGAATTTCTGAAGTCATGTTACTTAGCTGTCACAACTAGTAATAGAAAAATTCAATTTATAAAGAATTAGGAGAGGCAGGAGAGGCATGCTCTTCGGTTTAGAACAAAGGAGATCAATCCTGACACAATGGCAGCATGACATTCGTGGACTTTGAAGATTCCAGACTTCCTCTTCATTAATTAGAGAGAATCAAGAGTTCTGGTGGTTAATTATTTGAAGAAATTGTGCTCTGCAAAAGCAGATGCCAACTCACTCCAGCCGTCTCCAGCTGCAGCTCTGCATGATAATTAAACTGTGTCAGTCCTCAGCTCTGTCCGGGTTGGCAAATAAACACTCAGCTGGCCACCTTCACCCCTACCATCTACCACCCTTCACTCTTAGGATGGGGTCCAGGGACATGCTCTCATAGGGACCCCGGAGGCTAGTGCCACTCTGAATGGATTACCCGGGCTAGGTAGTGCTTTCAAAATCTGCAGCAAGAGCCCTCAAATCAAAGTCATCTGTCATCTGCTCCTATGTTGTCTATATTCAGCAGAGACTAAGGTTTCTGGGGTCAGCTGGTGCTTGGGTGTGGTAGCTGCTGTGACTGCTGCTCTGAAAATTTTAATTGTTTTTAATGTGATAATTATAAAACTAATGTAGATCCCTGATATCAAATTCAAGTGTAGGAAAAAAATGAGTGCTCCTCTGTGCTCCTTCCCAGCCCTGACCTCTTGAAAGAATTACAACAAGCTTGAGGCATTTGCTTCCAGATACTTCCTAGGCCTCAGGTCGTAGTCTGACCTGCCAGATGCTTATGTCTCCACATGTCATCTTAGCATTGCTGCTGCTTTTTCTGTACTCATGACACCCGCTCCTTTCTCTGCTTCCACGTGACTCAGTGGCAGATTTGACCTAAGACAACCTTGGTTTGGGAGTCTTGCCATGGGATTTGACCACATGGACTGTGTCTGAAAGGGTCAGAAACAGCCAGACCAGCAACAAACCCCTGACATGTGGCTGCAACTGAGGCAACCAAAAGAGAATGTGTTGTGGGAGCAGGACAGGGGGAGGGCCAGTGGAGCCCAGTGGAGGATTACTGGGGCTATGGTGGTGGTGGCATGGACTGAAGCATACATGTGTAGAGGTCTGAACATATGGCCCCTAAAATATATAATGATATGAACCAACTTCACCTTAATAAACATAATGGGAAGAGGAAAGACAAGGAACACTTCAAATGGTGGGGGAGGGGGGATTCAAGGACACTGATACTTATTTGTACCAATACAAACGTATGTTCTGTATGATCTTACTATTTTCACATAAGAGCCCACATCAAGAGACAAGAAGTTTAATTTAACCACCCCATCATGGCGTTAGCAATGAATCCGCAGCTAAATATGTTAAACTCCATCTTAAATTTGACAACAGATAAGGTTGGAAAGAAAGTAGAAGAATATGCACATTATAAAAGCCCTCGGCACAGTTGAAGTGAGCAGATGCTTGCTGTCTGCTCACACCTACTGGGCAGGGAAACAGAATGCAATTGCTGCTTTTCCAGAAATAGAAATATCGCCCAAGTTAGCCTGGAGCCTTGTTTACCACAGGTAAGGCAGCAGACAGGTCCACAACTCTACCCTGCCCTCCCGGGCATCATTCAGGGGTAGAGGTGGGAATTTACCCAGATGACTTCAGATCTAAAGCTGAGCAGGGTCAGGAGTCTCTACTGGCATTCAGGAAAAGCCAGAGGGGGCAGTAAGGGAGTGCCCGGCTAGGCTCCCTCAAACACCCAGTGCACCTCCGGTGTTTCGACATTTGCTGGCATTGAGACTCTCTGGCCATTTTACAGTCCATTTAAAGTATCTGAATCTCTCTCTGCAGAGCACCTCAGGTCGTAATATTAGCCCGGCTGACATCAGGTTCTGTCTGGTTGCCAAGGTCATTTTGCCCACTTAGAGGTTACCCAACTCTGAATAGCAGTATGCCAGTTTTGTCCACATCTTGATTATAGCATTTATTATACCTATTTGCAATTTTCTGTCTACCAGACTGTCTACCACACCAGAGAGGCATCTTTCTTGAGGCCAGAGCATGCATTTTAAGCATCTCAGTGCTGTCAGCACCTAGCTTC